TCTCTGTAAAGACATCAGCCTCAGAGCTGTTTTCGGCAATATCACTGACGTCTTCTGCACTGTTCTGCTCATACGCGGCGATCCCGGACTCTGTCTTAGGTTCAGTCTCCCAGTTTGAAACAGGGTGGAAGCTGACGTTAGTTTCTTCATGCACAGGTTCACCTTCTGTATGATGTTTTTCACTCTGTTCCTCATTCGAGAAAGGAATAGGAGAATCAGTATTCTCGATATGTGATTCCTCATTCTGAAGTGAATGGGCTGAATAAACATCAGATTGGTGGTAAATCTCTGAAGAAACGGGAGAATGTGAACTGCTGATTCTTTCGTCAGCATCTTCTTGGTTTTCAATTGTTTGTTGCGCAATAATATCTACCGTGGGGTTGAGCCCTGATGTTGATGAGGAGATGATTGCCTCCTCAAATTTCCACTGATCGTCGGATGAATGTTCTTCATCCTGCGAAGGTTGAGAACTCATAACCTTTATATATTCCGATGTTGATGAGGTATTAGTTTCTTTTGTTTGGCCGTGCACAGATTCTTGTTCTTCCTGGTTTTCAGTCTCTTCCCTGGTCTCCCCGTAGGTTTCTTCATCTTTTTTGCTTTGCTCGAAATCAGATTGTCGGGATTCTGTTCGTCGTTCAGTTTCCGAGTTAGAAGAAGAGGAAAGGTCGATGACAGTTTCTGCAAGCACTGGTTGAACTTCGGTATGATGTTCTACATTCTGTTCCTCAGTTAAGAGAGGATTGCTAGAATGAATGTTTTCCACTTTTTCATCATTATTTCGAGTGAAGTGATCTGCTTGAGCGTCAGATGAGTGATCGTGATCTTCATCTTCATCTTCCTGAGCAACGGTATTGTCGACAAAACGTTCTTCTGTATCACTCAATACTGGTGTGAATGAGGAAACATTGCTTTCATCGGGTCTCTGTATTTCATCTAGTCTCTGTATTTCATCTGAATCGTTTGTCAAATCATCTTTTTCGGGTGTTATGGGCTGCGACGACGGAGCGTTTCCTACTTGTGAACGAGCGTCAGGTCCTTCCTGATCTATAGAAGTTTCATATGCTGCTTGAGCACCCAATGCTGCAAGTGCTATAGGTGCAATAACTGCAGCACCGATCAAAGCATCATTTTTCTCAGCTGAGCCTGAAGTTCTATCATTGAAGCCTTCGTTGTTGAGGTCGTTATCATTTTTTGTTCGCTTTAGATCGCCACGAGTCTCCTGATCGTATTTCTCTTCATCCTTGTAAAAGTTTACGTTGGACAATTCATCTTCTTTGTCCTTTTGCCAAGTTGCTGGTTCGTCAAAAGCCATGGTTTCTCTCAGTTCTGTGTCCGAACAAACTGTAGTTCTCGTTTTATCTCTCATGGAAAAGTCTGGAGATGGATCATTATGACCATGATGTTGTAACTGATCATTCGAATATGTTGCTTCACTCAGTGATGTAACATTGTCGCCATTAGTTGGCACTTGTTGGCCTGCTATGATGGCAGCGTGAGTCTGCTCAATCAAGGTTTTATCTGTTTGATCTTCGGAGCGATCTAATGTTATGGGAATAACGGTCAAGTTTTGTGGAAGGTGTTCAGCCAATGACTCATCACTTTGAAGATCTTTGCTCTCCGCACGTGGTCCATCATGTTTTACTGAATTTTGTGAATAATCCTTGTCTTCCGTTTGAAAAATTTCAGCAGTACCAGTTTCTTGAAGTTGTTGCTTCACTTCCGCTTTATGAATTTCTTCCGTCGAGGCCGTTAGAGGCTCTTCTGTATCTTGTTCATCAGCTTCCAAAGATTTAACAGATACTTTTTCTTCTGATTCTGAATGTTTGGGTGTTGTTGCGGGGTACTCTTTCAAAGATTCGAATCTTGCTATTCTATCACGAACAGAGCCAACATCCTCAATTGGAGAACCTGAAATTAATAAATTAATGATGAAGTAAAGATTTGTATAGAACAATCAATCATGTGCTATAAAAAAATCTTCTTGGAACACAAAGTGACATTGATTGGTTTGTATCCATACTCATTTCTAATACTAAATGCTTTGATTCTAGTAAGATTTTGAAAACAAAAAAGCTAACAAAATAGTTTGTCGTATGTCAAGTGCAATGCTATGGAGGAATCTCAGCGAAGGTTTCAAAATGACCTTGTTTTGAGTGGGAAGTATAGATAAAATTACTCAAGTGGAAGTTTCATGAATTCAACTTTGCATTTCAGAAAAAACATGAATGACAATGCGTGCTAATCACATGAACAGCATCAAAGTGATTAATTATTGAAACTGTGTTGCAACTGTTGTCAGTAATATTATATGAGATGTCAGATATAATTGTGCTAGAATGCTTCCTTAAGCTAATAAGCTCGCTGAACTCAATGGGTAACTGTTCGTTTGTTGTTCGTAGTTTTTCTAATCATGGAAAATTTATGTTGAAGTTGAATTCATGCTTCAAGTGCAAATGCTTCATAAACGTGCTATATCTTGTTTTTTCTTTACAGATAACAAAAGAGGGATTGAAGACAATACATAAAACGAATTAAAGTTGAAAAACCACAACTATTTCTATTGCCACTTTGTGTTCCTTTTATTTTTTTATTATATTTCAAGATATTGTAATCCAAATGGGCGGCCACTACTCACCAAGGGTTTGCTGAGTTTCGTCGGAATCTCCTGAAAAAAAAAACTTTAAGATGTGTTTTTCTATATTTCTTGAATTATTGTAGAACACAGCGTTCGATTTTGTTTCAAAAATTGATGTAATGATGACATGAAGAAATGAGAAATCAAGGAAGCCAGCTGTGTAAGCGAGACAACATTTCAAACTTAACCAGATCTATTTTCTTTGTTTCACATATCTCATACTATTACCGAATACTCAGTGAAGTACACACACTAGTTAATTTATACAAAGATAATATACTGTACGTACCGGGTAGAGTTGTTCTTGTAGTAGTGACAACACGAGTCATCTTTTTGGAAACAACGACACTGCCATCCTCGTTAGTGAAACCTTCTTCTGCTGTTTCTTTTTTTTGAGTTGTTCCTAGAAAATGAATCAGTTCTAATTATGCTTCTCTTCTCAAAATAATTAGATCAATGGAATCGCATTGCTCACTTATATTACACAATCAATAGATAAAACACTTACCAGCGTCAGCTGCTGGCTCCGTAGTAGCAGATGCTGAAACAAGTAATATAAGAAAAACGTTGACTAAAGGATATAACAGAAACAAAGTTATGTGCAGACATATCGATCAATTGATTTCGTACAAAAAACGGAAATATAGTATTATTGTTAGCAACGAACTCCTTGAAAGTTTTTAAACTCATACTTAAGCTATCCAACATCTGCTGATGTAACTCGCGAATCTTGTCAGAATCCAACCCCACCATACCAGGGGTTTCAGTCTCGTAAACTGTTTTAGTCGTTGTAGTATGTCGACTTTGGTTCACTCGTATTTGTACGTCTCGTCCTGGTCCGGCGGCAGCCAAAGCTCGAGCTACGGCATCTGACACAGCTGGATCGGCTGGGGTCACAGCTCCGGCTGCTCTGAGTTCAGCCTCTAACTCTTTGAGCCGTTGAACAGCACTAACATGCTGATTAGGATCGGTCATTTGAATCTCGCGTAGAGTAAAAAGCAAGTTAGACAGAACTTTCTCAGCTTCTGTCACTTCTTCAACGGCGCTAGATTGAGAAACACACCCGGTTGCTGGACAATTGTCTTCTTCTTGTTGATTTTCGGCGCTTTGATACTCTTCTTCTGCTTCCAGAAGAGGTACTTGAGGAACTGTAGGATGGAAGAAATGAACGAGAGGTACGCCTTTAGGATCGACGTTGAGCAAAGCAGCTGCTAGAGACGCACTGCGTGCTCTCTCAAACTGACTGCTACTCGCAATGGGCGTGTCATCTTCTGTGTCGGTGGTGTCCTGATGATGTAAATGAGGATGCTCAAACGATGATGAAATTATAGAAGCATCATCATGTTCTCTTTCTGCGTGTTCACCTGACCATGATTCCGCTTCAAAGGTAATTGGCTGTTGAACTTGAATAGTGTCCGCAGTTGAAATGTGGGCATCCTCGCAAAATGAGAAGAGATCATTGGCTAGTCCTCCAAGTAATAATTCTCCATTAGCCGTGAGCCCAAGCACAACAGGGAGCGACGACATCAGCAACTCGACTGCCGAAAGAAAACAGCTGACCCGTCATTGAGAGAAAGAGCAAAACTCTTGGAGGCGGTGCTAACTTCTCTTTCTGGTTGATTCACGAATACTTACATAATGACTGATATTTTCTTTCCTTTGTTTCTCTACGCCTTAGGCCTCCTGTTCTCCGTTTCATTTTCTTCGAGTAAACGGCAACATACTGCATAGTGTAATCAATCGAGTCAGTTAAATTTGAAAAGCATTGTCCTGGAAACTTTGAGAAGCTAATTGTTGACCTCAGCACTGGTATTTTATTAGAAAATTCTTTCATATTTCAGCCGCTGTAACGAAGATACGTTGCTAACTTAGATAGTATCGCAGTAGCCAAACCTAGTTTTGTTTTATACGAAATCAATTATATCGACACATAAAGATACTGGGTATACTTAAAGGGTATTTCATGAATAAGATTAGCGTTAGTCTTGTATATTATATATAAAACTTATAAATTATGCGCTTTGTTTTTTTGCGTAAGCTTAAACAACCTATGTTCGAGGCCTTTACATTATTCTCAAAACATCTAAAAAAAATTAGACCTTATGAGTATGCAAGACATTGCGATGGCTTAAAGGGTGCTTATTATATTAAGTGCGTATATGTGCATGTGCTTGAACGTGCCTCGCTCCTAGAAAGCGTAGTTTAGACTACAAGAACAAAGGAAGAAAAATAATGGTAGAAAAAACTATTAAGAAATTTCAAGTGACAAAAAGGTTCTTCTCATTAGCTGCTACCTTGGTGAATGGGTGAATGCCTATCTTGAGACTCCTCAGCTTCAACATCAACTTCAGATTTTTCAAGGGGTTCTGAAATATGAACAGTTCAAAGCAAGCATTTCAGCATATGTTGGAGATAGCACAACATGTGGATCAACTTCGTAAAGTGGAAAAGTTTGAATAATGAGCAATTTCACAGCGTTAGGTAAAGCAGAGCTCGTTTGCAAATTTGTATTTAGTGAATATACTTTGATTGATGTCTTTTTTCTATCTCAACATACCAGTATGGGATTCACTATAATGGCTAGTCATAGTCGTAGTTGTAACAATTGTTCCATCATCTTCAACATGCTCTTCTTTTTCAACTGTTTGGTCATAACCATCAGGCAAAGGTTCACTTTCCAATAGATCGCTGTGGTTCATACTTTCATCTAACCGGTGAAGTTCATCCCATCTACAAAGAGAAAAAAGGATATGATTTTTACAGACAAAAACTCGTTAACTTACTTTTCTTTTTCTTCGTCATTTAACGGGACCCTTCTGTCTACCACATGCTCATTCACAGCCACATCGTCTTCGTATGTTGTTGTAATGGTTTTTTCTTCAACAATAGGACCCTCCTCTGTATCATGAACATGGCGTTCCGTTCTTACAACAGTTCGAATCTCAGATACTGGTTCTGAAATTTTTAGTTGTACAGAATATTATTGATTTCAAACCTTCTTCCTCTGGAATAGGGTGGCTCAGAGACTCATTTGTCTCAGAAAATGAGAGAGGCTCAGCCTGTTGTAGCTGAGAGACCGGCTCTTCAGGCGCCGTTTGTACCAGAGGTTGAGCTTTCAGAACTTTTTCTTCAGCTATCCTTTGCTCTATTTGAATTTTTGATGTGGGTATATCCAGAGGTTTAGCAGTATCAAATCGTTTGGAAGCGGGGGAGTCCGAACCGAAACTTAAAGTGTCTGGTTCACCATGCAGAACACTACGTACAATATCATCCCTTCCAATTTTCTTTAGGGCATTGTTGAGCTCATCATCTTAAAACGCAATCAAAAATTCAAATTAAACATTCAATAAACGTACTTGTTGCTTCTTCTTTCTTCATATGAATCCAAATTTTCAGAACGTTGACTAATTCTTTACCGGGATAATTCTGACGTACATGGAGAATATCTTTATATGGGACTTTCAATGCTCGAGCTAATCTTGGCCAATCAGCGCCAACTCCTTTCGTAATATTGTTGTGAACAAAATCTGGTAACTCCTGAAAAAAACCGATAGGTGAGAAAAATTATATTTGCAAACTTTATCGAAAGCTCCTCGGTACTTGTCATTGAAGCTAACAATTTCTTTCTTGTTAGCTGACGGTGTTGAGAGGTCACTTGTATATTCAGGTAAGGATATTGCCAGAGTGCAAATAGGAGCTTGTGGAGCTAATGCATCAGATCTAACTTTCGGTTCTTTCATGAAAGCGATTCGGCCTTCTGTAGCAGCTTCGTTATCATCTTTGTTTCTGGTCTAAAAAACTCATATAACGAAAAATTTAAGCTCAGAACATACCTTGACCATAAACGCTAACCTGTTTTCTTGGAATGGGAGGAAGTAAAGACTGAGCTGATCTCCGCTCTTGGTAACGGGTACAAGATTACCGGCGAATTCGAGGAATTGATGTTTTCCTTTCAGCACCTCAACGTCTTTAGACTTGGCGATGAGCTTGAAATGTTCTTGTTTCTCGAGAGTTTTTTCTTCCTTGTCATCTGTCATGCAGAAAACGCGTAACTGTCCTTCAACAGGGAAAGTACGACGAGCGAATACAGCGAACTTAGCCATGTATGGTATGCTTATGGCTTCATTATACACTTCTTGAGCCATTCTGGCGGCATCTCTTGGTGTTTGGCAATCCATAAGCCAGAATCGCGCAGATACGGTTGTAGTGAAGCTGACTTCATCTCCTGTGAACGTTAACTGTGTTGTTCCTGTAATATCTTCCCACTGTGCTGGTGCAGATCCTCCGGTAATAGAGCATAAAAGCCGTAAGGTTGGTGGTTCCTGCCCCGGTTGTCCAGAATATTGAGTGAGCATGCCCTTGTTGCTACTCTGAGGTAAAGGTATGCAGAGAGTGATGGGTTTGTGGAACTTTCTACGACGTGGTTCAACTGTTACAATAGGTGAAACAGCCACCCTATTTCCATGAAGTCGAGTTACCATTTCTTGAGGTACAGGCTGAGCTTGTACAGACACCTTGATAGTTTTGGTTAAAGAACCATCAGGGAATATTGCTTGGACTCGTGGTACAACTGAGGACATTATTACTCCACCCTCTGGGCCAACACAATGAACCTCCTGACGAACTCTGGTGACTACGGCGAAATACATTGGAAAATCATTAGTAAGGATTCTCGTAATTCTCGGAGTGTGAAGATCGTCAAGTTGGGCAAGTTCTTCAGCATCAAATGATTCGTTCAAAACTTCTTGGACGGCATCCTCTGTAGCTTCAAGTTGGTGTTCCTTCCAATGTTGCCCATCATCAGACCGTAAGATAACAATTTCTCGTTCGCGATCTCTCAACGAAGCGAAGTGTGGTACTTCCAATATGACGGGACCAAGGAATTTAGCACCAGCTGGTGCCATTTCGATTATGCGAGAGGCTAACTCTTCTCCTTCGCTGAGTGGAGGAGGATGAGCAAGTTTTTCCTGAAGATTGTTTTAATGAAAAAATATGATATTTTGTTTTCATACCTTCCGCAAATAGCGACAGGTAACGCGTACTGGTTGGGCAGCTTTCCGTGGAGGTATGATGATGCGTACGCCAGAATGGCGACAGCCACGCATTGCTCCTCCACGTGCATCCACCAGAAAAGATATGAGGAACCTGCAAATAAAAAGTTCTACTTTAGGAGTAAAAGATGAATGGCTGAAGGATAGAACTGAAGAACACATCACAACCGCCAGAGCAATACACCAAATAACGTGAGCTAAGCTGGAATATCATTTTCGTTTTGAAAGCGTTTGGTGTCAAGAGGCTACTGCCACGCCACAAGAAGATGGTGCACGTGAAACAACCAACTTGTTCTTTAATTATGACCAGCAAAAGGCGTATATATTAATGTCAGTCTCCATAATCCCAAAACGCTGACCACAAGCCAACGCACGTTTATAATTGTGATTGTTCTCGGACGGTTGCAAATATTGATATAACACATGCATAACTACATCAAATAATTGAATCACTAGTAATTGAAGTTAAAATGGGAATAGTTTTAGAAAGTTTGTAAACATAAATGGGAAAAGGAAATATTTTTTAGCTTACACCACATTTCAATACCACAATAAATAATACTTACGTTTTGTGCTGCAGCTTGCTGTAAAAGTTAGGAAATGTTTAAAAATGTTAAAACTGGGAACAGAGCAATGATTTTAGTTGATAATTTGTTCAATAAGCCACATGCTTCAAACACTGCCTACTTCTTGCAGGCATAAACATAATTTAGTTGTTTAGTTTTAGAGTCACTCTGGGTCTTTGAAATTGTTAATAAACAATGGAAAAATTTTTGTATTTGAAAATTTTGTAGAAGGGCGGTAATAATACGTACCTAGGTTGAGCTACATTATGTCCGATTGGAATGTTATCATTGTTAACGGCTTGACTCATTATTGAATCCTCTTGTGACATTGCTCCGGCTGCAGCCGCATAAAGTGGTTGATTCTGAAACGTCGTTGATGAATCACGTATGTAATTTGAGTTTTCTATTCCCAATATAAAAAAGAGGGAAAAGAATGCCCTTAGAAAAAAACATACCTGAGCTTTTCGGATTAACTCGTCTAAATTGTCATTTACTTGAGCGCTTGGTGCAAGTTGAATTCCATCTAACTCAGCACTCTTTGATAACAACTGAAATAGGAACATGAAAAAATAATAATATTAATATTTCTATCAGTTATCAGTAAAACAAGCTGTAGCGCAGCGTTTGTTGAGGATACACGTATAGAAACGTTATTTTTCTAATCGTATTCTATGATAAATAAAATAATACTGCGGGAAGTAAGAAAATATAACTTTTTCTGGGTTTAGGTTTTTACATCAACGCTGTGAAATATAACCAAGGAAAATCGATCGTTTCGCTCAACCATCTTTCGATCTCTCAACTCAAATCATTCATACCTGTTCGCCTGTATGAATCATATGAACGCCAGTAGAATCCGCTAATCCTTGTGTTAGATGATCTGAGAAATCTTTCATATGTGCGTTTGCGGTCTGAATAGAGCAATTACAAAGCAAATATTTTCCAAAGACCTCGTTGATAAGGAGGTGTTAAAAATAATCTTACTTCGTGTTCGGCTGCTTGTCCTTCGTCTTCACTCTCAGAGAACATAGTCTCATTCATTCCTTCAGGATTCTGAGGCTTGTACCGTTCGTCAGTGACGGTTGTTGTTTCAGTGATAACTGTTGTTTCGGTGACTGTTTTCAAAGTTTCCACGACTGATACATATCCTAGACGTTGAGCAATAGATAGAGGAGTTTGTCCGCTCTGTAAAATTGATGATACATCAATATAAAATGAATATTATACCGCTGTCTGAGCATTCGGAGAAGCACCATGTTCTAAGAGGTATTTAACACAGTGATTATGTCCTTGTTGTGCTGCTTGATGAAGTGGTGTGTAACTAGCTCTTGTCACTTCACCTACATGAGCGCCATGTTCAACGAGGAACCGCACCTTAACAAGAATGTATATATAAATATACAATTTAGCCAAGAATACCATGTTCAGTTGTCCAAAATGACAAGCAACATGCAGCGGCGTATAACCAGCGTTTGTTTGACTGTTGATGTCAGCTCCATGATTGAACTAAAAGAAATAGAGTATTACTTTAAAAAATACATTAATACCAATTCTTCTGCCACTGGTACGTGGTCTTCCTGGGCGCATAAATGCATTGCGGTAAGCCCATTATTGGCTTTAGCAGCAACGTCAGAACCGTTTTCTATCAGAAGGCCAGATACTTCGCGATGTCCTTCCTGAGCAGCGAGATGCAAAGGTGTAAAACCAGCTCTTGATTTTGCATTTGGATCAGCATTAAACTGAAGCAATGTGCTGGCAATTTCCATTTGGTTTTTCTTAGCAGCAATATGAAGAGGAGTATAACCATTTTTAGCAGCAGCTTTAGCCGATGCACCTTTTTCTAATAGGAGCATGGCCACCTTATCGTTATTGTAATGAGCAGCGACGTGTAAAGGTGTAACTTGATTTTTTCCTTCTATATCTACTTGACAGCCCCGATCCAGTAGAAGTTTAACAACATCAACATTTCCATATTTGGAAGCAAGATGAAGAGGTGTGAAACCTTTTTTGGTCATAACTCCTTTTTCTGCCTTATGATCCAGGAGAATCGCAGCAACCTCTTCCTGACCCTCCTAAAAACGCGGAATGAAACGTAGAAAATTGCGAACAAACCTTTGCTGCAATGTGAAGGGATGTATACTTATCACGAGTATCAGCGTTGGGGTTGGCTCCAGCTTGTAAAAGAAGTACAACTATGTCAGTGTTACCCAAACGACTAGCAATATGAAGAGGAGTTTGCAGCTCACGAGCTTGTGCATCAACCTGGAAGATAATAGAAGATTAGTCGAGATGTGAACAAATAACTGGTACCTTGGCTCCATTTCTTATTAAAACTCTAACGACATCAGTTTGATTAGCACGGGCAGCCAAATGAAGAGGTGTCTCACCTCGTACAGTTGCGACGTCAGCATTTGCACCCTATGATATATATATATATTAATACATTATTACAGATTTTCGGAATGCGAACCTGTTGCAATAAATAAATAACAATGTTGATTGCACCCATGAAAGAAGCAACGTGTAAAGGAGACAACCCTGACTCGGTTGTAGCTTCAATAGCTGCATGATACTTTAGAAGTAATTCTACGACCTGGAACACGGAAATAAAAGCGTTCAAACAGAAAAATATACCTTGATTCTATTCTTTTTGCAAGCAATATGAAGTGGAGTAAAGCCATTTAGAGCTCGAGCATTTGGATCAGCACTACGATCTAATAAAAGTTTCGCTACGCGAACATGTCCGCAATGAGCAGCAACATGAAGAGGGGTCAAGTAGTCAACGGTGACATCATCTACAGGAGCTCGATGATATAACAGGATTCTGGCAGAATCTACATGATCTCCTTGAGCTGACATATGTAATGGAGCGAGTCCATTCTGAAAAACCATAAAAACTTTAAAAAAAGGTAAAATACAATGCCTTCGTTTTCGCAGATATTGGTGCTCCTTTCTGTAAGAGCATGTCCACGACTTGATCATGGCCACTGCGTGCAGCACAATGCAAGGGAGTTAAAAGATCTCTGGATATTGAGCAATATAAAACAGAATTTTTTTTAACGTACCTAGTTCTACTATCTATGATGGCACCATTTTGAAGAAGTAGTTGAACCATATTCAAACGCCCCCATTTCGTAGCAACGTGTAAAGGACTGGAAACAATAAGAATATATTATCATATAGAACAGTGCCATATTGCAAGTTAAATGAACAGCATGCGAACCGCATAAACTCTACTCATGAGTACTTTTCATTTCGAGTTATCGACCAACAAATACTTTGAAGGCTCGCGGAAGCTGCATAAATTCCCAATGGATGCCTTTGAGCATGGTACTGCAGACACACGTCGTGTATAGCTGTCCAGGGACCACTCTAACACAATGCTGCACTACACTATTTCAAAGAAAAACTATTTCACATCTATTGCTCAGTGGAAAGAAATTGAATGCTTTGGGTGATTGAACAATGTTGTCATCTTTATAAATGGACTCGTGTCAAAAATCAATTCAGTCCTCGCTACTTATAACCTATATTTTTTCTCACAATTCAACTGAAAAAGTTTACAGAGTTTTTGATACCAGCTGTGCTTAATATACCCCAATATACATTTCAATACGCTTTTAATTGAGCAAATTCACGTTATTACACTCGTACAAAGATCCTTATAAATCCATTCACCAAACCATGGACAAACAATAAGCATAATTGCCATATAAAAAATTGGATTCCAATTGCTGAACAGATGGGTTTTCATTATAGAAGAAACCAGCCGGACACAAGCTCTAGGAGAAGAATCCACAACAACAACTCTACTTCCTTTAAGATTATAATTCAGTCAATGAAATGATAGCTCAGCTTTTCATTGAGATGACATGAAAAAAACGAAGAGACTGTATAGGAAAGCCTCCGAATAAATCATAAATGCTCTCTATAACTATAAATCAAGTTGAGAAAGACCTTGATATTAAATGTGAACGCTCTTTCCAGTCGACAATTTTGCCTTCTGTCATTTTTCATCAATCCTGCACGGCCTTATTAACTCACTCTCCAAAAACATACAATCACGAATTACTAGTAATCGCAACAAGTTCCAAATTTCCCAAACTTTGCTAATATGAATTGGAAAAAAACTGACCTGATATTATGTCTGGCTTGGTAATTGACATTGGCACCTCGTTCAATGAGAAGTTGGGCAACGTTCTCATTACCATAATGAGCAGCAATGTGTAACGGTGTAAAACCAGATTTAGATGTAACATCTGGATTGTGTTCATTCTAAAAATAAAAGATTAACTTCATCATTATGATATCAAAAAAGAAAAAGTCATCATACCTCCATAAGTAGAGTAGCTGCTTTGATATCATCTTTCTTGGCAGCAATATGTAACGCAGGTAATCGTACCTTAATTCCAAAATGGTTGCAAAAATTATTCGAGAAAACTAACTTTTCCGCGGGAATTATTCTCTAGTAAAATAGCTACTACTCTGTCATGACCCTGTTGTAAAGCAACTGCGAGTGGAGTGAAGCCATCCTGAAATAATTAATATGTACAAAATTGGTAAAGAAAAACAGTGATTAATAATCAAAAGTAGCGCAATCAACTGTCTTTTTTTCATTTTTTTGCATTCACCGTATGAGCGTCTATGCGAACGCTTAAAGTCTACGTTCACATGATATTTTAATATCAACCCATTTTTGACCTCTCGTACCCCTTTCGCAAAAATTGCAATGAAAGCCGAGTTCTACAGAGTGGAACCATATGCTGTTGATAATTTGAGAGATTCTATGAGAAGTGAGTAGACGGAACAAGAGAAAGAAGATATAAGTAAGCGTCTTCTTCTGTTCCTCGAGCTTCATTACAACCATTTAGTAATTTATCCTTCATCTTTGATTTGAGCATTTCGACTAACATTCTTAGAACATTGTGATGATCAAAAAGAGGAATAGTTCAAAAACGTTATTCTACGAAGGCTCAAAACAAAGGAGAGATCAAGGAGCGGGAGATTGAGTGAAAAAGATGCTACAGGCGCTGGTAATTTGAAGATTGAGCCAACATTGTCTCTTCACTAACTATCCTCTTTCTTAAAGTAAACATCATATGGCATTTTAGCCGAAGAAAGTCTAACCATCATAGAAAAATTGGAGAGCACTTGTGCGAACATCACATTACGACACAGTTCATAATTTCTCCACACTGAGAATATGTGCGCACTGTTTTTTAGTTATACCAGTTTCATTTTGCTCATTTGTTTATTATGAGTTTTTCACTTCTAACTATCTTCTTATTTCATGTACTCAGTCGTTTGTCTTGTTAAGACAGCCAGCTTTTGAAATAAAATGATGACACTGAACAACTATGCGAGCGGAACCTAAGACAGCAATCAGACAACATAATGCCTCGACGATTCCAATGCAAGGCTTAAGAATCACGAAAAATGTCCAAAAAAAAATGAGCAACGCCCTCCACCCCTAATCGAAATTAAAATAACTCTCAGAATCAATATCATATTGATTGTTCAAGTTTTTAATAAAACTGATGCATCATAAAATTTTAAAGTTTCGAAATATAAATAAAAGCGTATATACATACCTCTGTCGAAAGTGTTTGATTAGCTCCGTGGGTCAATAAAAATCTCACAACATCTTCATGATTTTCTTGTGCTGCCATATACAGAGGTGTAAAACCATTTAACGATTGTACATTAACATTTGCTCCATTTTCAACAAGAATAGTGACAATCAATGACTGTCCGGCCAAGGAGGCGATGTGTAAAGCTGTATTACCTTTCTGGAACAGAGTGAGTTTTAAACTTTGTGGTGAATTATAAGACCTTAGTGGCTGCATCTACATGAGCCTTCCGTTTCAACAATTCTCTTACTACTTCATTATGACCTTCTTTAGAAGCCAAATGGAGAGCATTCAGACCGTTGGCATTACATGTGTTAATATCTGTGCCAGAACGGAGAAGCTCCAGAACTTTGTCCAAATTTCCTGCTCGTGCCGCTCGCAAGAAACTCGCACTTCCTTCTGTCTGTAAATAAAGAATTGCAAAACCGAAAAAAAGCATAAAAAAAGTTTCTCAGTAAGTATTTACACAAAAGAAACTTTCAAAGAGAAAAAAAATTAAAAATTACTTTAGTAGAGGACTGCTGCGATTGATCGTTTGTTGTTACATTCTGTTGATCAGCCGGTTCAGCTGACATATTTAAAAATTATAATCTACTGCTTCTTAACTCCTTTTTTGACTTATATTCGTCTTCTCAGATAGCTAATATATCACTGAGAGACGAAAATAATAATGTAGATCAAAGGGGAGAAAGCAGGCGGCTCTGCAAATGAATCTGTCAGTTTTTAGAACCAAACATAAAAGAAATAAAAATAAAAATCAATTTGCAATGTTCAAGCACATTTGAAACTCAAAAAATTGAAGGTTCAATCTTCAAAGTTCAACCAACTCGGCAGAATTGGTCAAATAATCAACACAAAATAGAATGGCAAATGCGAAATATGAGAAAGTTGAAAATGTTCCTAAAAAGGAAAGATTAAAAATGGATTTTTAGACAGTTTCTAGTATTATGCCTTTATATATTTATATGCTTTGGATTGGCAGGACCACAAGCCGTAGGCAACCACTGTTTGAGCTGAAAACGAGCGGAAGGGCGGAGAGAGATCGATTCCTCTGTGTCCCTGACATAGTTATCTTCACTCTGTGGTTTTATGTCTGACATGTCTGTGCTCTGCCACGAACCAACGCGGACTTCTTGTGCCCTGCTGGGTCAACACTATCGCGTGCTGGAGTTAGTAAGCATGTTAAGCATTAGCGAAAGAGAAGAGTATAAAAAAAACGAGAAGGATTCAAGTCGTTTGCCTTCCAAGTTCGGAAATGCTTCTTTATATTTCAACAACTAAATCGATATCCTGACTACTTTACTTTTTCTTCTTAATGTTCTCTCTAGAGACCAAGAAGATGTAAACCCTTCCCTCGCTTGTCTTCCTCCTTTTACAATCAGTTTTGCATTTCTATGTTGCCTTGAAGACTAAGCTTAACTTTCGAAACTCATTTTTTGAATGAAAAAATAAAGTTAAAGGATTACTGACACAATCGCTATGCCTACTTGTGTCACTCATTTAGCACCTTAAATGTAAACACCTTCAATGTCTAGGGATGATACACCTGAGATAGCGAGTTTTTGATGTGACAAGTTCAGCACAAGAATGACTGCTAAACAGATAATTTGGAGAATGACTTTCTACACCTACAGAAAAGAGCTCGATGAAGAAAATTTAGCGTAACGAATTCAGGATCGGATCAATATCAGATGTAAACTAATGAAGGAAAGGACGTCGTAACCTTCGTAATGAGAGAAAAGAGAATTCTCTGAAGCAAAAAGAGTTTTGTTGTGAAATTGCTTTTACTTCTCCCGAATTAAAAAGTTCTCAAGATGTAAGTAGGTGATGGAAAAAAACGCGAAAATAGTTTTTTCTATGAATTATTTGGAAGTTGTTGGCTTCTTTTCTCTATTAATTCATAGGAAAAAGAATAGAAGACATGAATATTCATAGAATGGCATTGTGAACAATTGATTTTTTGCTTTTCCAAAGGTCAAGACGTCTGAAGATCCAAAAATTATTTTTGGCCATATGCCAAATTGGTAAATGACCTCCTTGTCTATTTTTGGCAATATTGATTCTCTAATCATTCTTCCCTTAAATAATTAGCAGTTCGGACAGAGCGAGAATTTCCACAATAAAAACGGATAAAAAGCGGGAAATTTCCAGGAATGGTTTCAACTCTGCTCGCTCTTTTCATTCAGTTCATGCAGTTTATGAGGTTCTTTGGGAAATAACTTCGAATACAGAAGTAGCAATAAACAAATAGCAAACATGAATTGGATGAAAAAAAGTTAGAGTTTTGGAAAAAACACAGAAAACTTCCCAACTTTTCGAATCGATCAAATGCCGAAATATTTGGAGATTGATCAAACTGTAGTATCCTAGTGAATCCAGGGTTATCCAGGCGTTGTTAAAGAATTCAAAAGAAAGTAGAGAAATTTTTATTTACCAATTTCTTAGACGAGCGGAAATAGAGGAGAAGATAAGATGTTGTTCCGCAAAAAGATTTTTTTAGTTATTATTGGCATATAACACTTTCTCAATTAGATAAATTACCGAGGAATCTTAAGTAACAGATGGTGGAAAATCATTGTTTCTCTTCCAAAGGACAAGATCTGTGTTTGTCATATCCTTTTAAAGAGATTTCTTTTGTTTCGGTGATGGAGTGGACAGAAATTTTATACTTTTTTGGGGCCTCGAATTAACTTTGTTCGTTGGCTAAAAACCAATTCCGTTCGTGAATTTGCTTCCACTAGGAGTAGAAAGGGAAAATTATTCAAAAGTGTTCTCTTTAATGTTTCGAACAGCTTGAAAATGTTAGAGAATAGTAAGGCTGTCGTTTTGAATGGATCTAGGCGCCAAATGGTTCCCAAAGACAAAACGGCTTAATGAGCCATGTTTATATTTTTTTCAATAGTATATTCAATAGTTGGGAGGCTTTTGATTGGCTTGCATTCAATAAAAAACAAAAACCGGGGTGGAAATAATTAGTCAAGTTGAACAGAGCAGAACCTGCTAACAGTTCCTACGTATTAGTGGAACAGCAAATATGCTTGCAACACAATCGATCGAACCATCATTTTAATTTTCATCGTAGCTATGTTTACTAGTTTTCAAGATTCAAACAAAAATGGATGAAAAAAGTATTTAAAGGGAATTTCTAAAATATACAAAGATGTGAGCTAGAAAAATTAAAGAGAAGCTTTAGGGAAGAGGGGTTTTACAGGATACTTTGTAACGATAGATGAAGAGAATAAATAGATAAGACAAAAAAAATGAAAAATTAGCTCAGCTGAATAATCAAAAGATAAGACTCAATGTGGGGAAAGTCATAGAAATTCGTTATGTTTTGTTGTTTCAAAATTATTTTTTGAACGTTATTTTAACCAGTTTTGGAGAACAATTTTGAGTGGTTCGATAACAATTCGTCCATTCAAGGTCATTGTGAATTTTTAAAAAAAAGTTGGAAAAGGAAATCTTTGAAATATCGACGAAAAGCTATGAAAAGCAATGTGATAACAACAATAATATTTAAGAGAGTGGTGAAGGAAACAAAAGACAAATTGAATTGCTTCATGGCTATAGACAGTGGCGAAGTTTCAAGTGCGGAAAACTGAAGCATATGATTAGCTTTTAATTGAACAAAAATGTTTGTTGTTTATATAAGAATATTTGCAAGAAAAATTGAGAAAACAAATGCATGAAAACGACACACAAATTCACTTAATGAATCACCAAAAAATGTAGAGGAGTCATCATCGAAAGATCGATGTGAAATGATTGTGTGTCACATTCATAGGTAAAATCGTATGTTTCGAATGGAAATAGTTCAAACCAAAATGGAATGTAAGAATTGAAAAATGAAAAGGAAAAAAAGATGAAAAAAGACGATTCTTGGTGTATTTTACTGTTTGTAAAAGAATGTAAATCAATAAGTAAACAGAAAGAACTGTTGAGGAAAACGTTCGAGCTTATAGTTAAGAAGAGTATATTGAAAAGAGATTAAGTGTTTGATCAAGAAAAAAAGCAAAGAGGGAACAACGGGAATCAAGTAAAGGAACAGAGATGAGAAGTGATCATGAAAGTATTCTGTGTGAGTGGAATAGTAGTAGTTCATATAGAGAATATAGTATCATAACAAATAAATATATATGTTTATGAAAATAAAAGAAAAAAAAAACAAATTGTAAAGATGAAGTAAGAATAGAAGAGATTGGAGGAATAAGCTATCATAAACATAATCGATTTGAATATTATCAGAAGAGTATAACTTCTCATGGAATAGAAATAAACTGAGATTTGAAGAGGATGAAATGAACACTTTCCAAAATCCGTAATAACAGAAGAAGATGATGATTTTTGAATATTGACGTTTTAGCTTTAAAAAAAATTGCTCAAGAATTTCAAATCAAAATAGTTTGAAAGGAAGATATGAATGAGAAGAGAATTTTCTAGAGTTATTTGATGTAAAACAGAGGAAACATGGTAATGAATTATGATTATATGAATGAAACAAATGATAATAATAGTCATAAATTGAAATGCAACCGTTCATGACGTTTAGATGAGAAGAAATGATATGCAAATGAAGTGTTAGGATTGGTATGCAAATCAGATTCAGCAAAATTTGAACAAAAAAAAAACAATGTTTTAACAAGTTTTTGTTAGAAGCAGTAGAAGAGGAATAAAGATTTACATGAATTTCAAATGTGCTCAATCAATAACAAACATCAATGATATAAATACTTATATACATATAAAATAATATAAATAATGAATTAAAATGAACAAACCTCAGCGCCTGTCACTGGTATGCTTTTGTAATGAGAACAGTTTGAGTTCTTAATAAATATATAATTAAATGAATGAAATATAAACATGAAGAGAATAAAGAAAGAGTGTGAATAGAACGTTTAAGAAAAATGAGTAAAAACTCGTATAAAAAGCATACGAATAATAGAAGTTTTGGATATTGTTGAAAATCAATTGAAAATCCCTACTGTTGCCATGAGAACGATAGCGTTGAAGAAGATTGGCCAATGTCAAAAATAGCTCGGGCAAGAGATAAAACAGAAATTGAATCTAAGATATTTACATTAATTGAAATCCAAAGCGTAAAAGTTTTTTCGGCGTCAGTATGATGAAAAGGCGTTTCTTATGATGAGGAAAACTGGACTTTGATTGAACAAGAAGTGAAAATGAGAGCCGAGATTAGAATAACGAGAGATGTACAAGAGAGCGTTGGTTATATGTGAAGGCCAAGATAGATGAAGGTGTGTTAATTAAGATAGAAGGATGAGAATAGAAGAACACTTGAAAGATTTTTTATAAAGAACACGCAAAATGTATAGATTTTATAGTAAAATGAGGTAAAAAGGCAAATTGAAACGAAAGAAACTACTTGATAGGGCCAGATCGATCAAATTTCGCTCATCTGCTGAGCGAATGCGTGGAATAAGAAAATAGTTTAGAGGAGAAGATGAAGCGTAGCAGAAGCAATTCTCAGTCAAAAGAGCTTTAGTAAAGAGAGAAGGTGAACCTTAAGCGTATTTTTCATAGCAAATAAAGAGAAAAACTCAATAAAGTATTA